AAAAAAAAAAAAAAAAAAAAAGAATTCTGAACAGCTCTGGATAATTCAGGATGCATATTGTTAGCCCAACAACTACTAAGATACATAGGAATAAAAATCCAGTCAGAGAAATAAAGTGATAGAATTAAAAAAGGTCACTTAGCCTGAAAGAAAGCATTAAAGGACTAACAAAGGAACAAAAAACAGAGGAAGCAAAGGGAAAGTTGCTTAACTTTAGTAATTAGGGAAATGCAAATCAAACCACAAAGAAATACCACTTTGTAATCACTATGAGGGTAGATGTCAAAAAGATAGATAATAACAAGGGTTGGCCAGGATGTGGAGAAAGCAGAACCTTTATACAACATTGGGTGGGAATGTAAAACAGACCCAAGAGAAAGGAAAACATTTACCCATACAGAAAGCTGTACACAAACGTTCAAAGCAGCACAATTCATAATACCCAAAAAGTTTTTTTTAAAAGCACAAATGTCCACTGACTGATAAATAAAATGTACATTTCATAAAGGAGTACTATTTGACGATGAAAAGGAAGAAGTAGTGATTCATGCTACAAACAATAATACAACTTTAAAAAATAATGCTAAGTTGAAAAAGCCAGATATAAAAGGATACTTACTGAATGGCCCCAGCTATAAGACGTATCCAGTACAGTCAAATCTATGGCAATAGAAAGTAAACTAGTGATGCTGGGCACTGGGGGTGAGGAAAAGGGAGTGATGGCTAATGGGCTAGGGGAAATGGGATTGACTGCAAAGGTGTCTCTTTTGGGTTAATAAACATGTTCTGTACACAGACAGTGGTGCTGGCTACAGAATTTTGGGACTACATTAAAAAAAATCAATGAAATGTACACTTAAAAAGTGGACTAAACATCCCAATTAAAAGACAGAAATTGACACATTGAGGGGGAAAAAAAAAGCAAGACCCAACCAACTATAGACTATAAGATATAATTTAAATATAAAAATACAAAGATTAAAAGGATTGAAAATGATCTTATGCAGAATGAGCATAAAGATCATGAGACATACCAGATGTGAAGACAGTATTACATAATAATAAACAGACCAATTCGCCAGGAATACACGATAAACTGACATGTATCCATCTGATAACAGGACAACAAAAACTCATCAAACAAAAATAGGCAGAACTGAAGGGAGAAACAGATTTACAATCATAGTTAGAGATTTTAATCTTTCTAGCATTAATCAATAAACCAAGTAGACAAAAGAAATCAATGAGAAATAGATCTCAACAATACTACAAACCTCACCTAAGTGACAGTTACAGAATACGATACATGAAAACTGCAGAATATATACTCTTTTGAAGTGCGTGTGGAATATTCACCAAGGTAAACCATATGCTGGGACATAAAATGAGTCTCCATAAGCTTCAAAAGCTAGCAGAATCACCAGACCAGACATAAAACCTAAACACATGGAATTAAATTAGAAATCACTAACACTACGATGTCTAGAACTGAAGCAATACATCTTTTGTTTTGGATTATAAAAGTAAGTTAGGACATAATTTAAATGATAAAGAAAATATCCAAATGTACAGCAAATGTTTGAATTAAATTACACAAACTTGTGCTCACTTGGGCAGCACATATACTAAAACTGGAACAATACAGAGAAAATTAGCATGGCCCGTGCGCAAGGATGACACGCAAATTTGTGAAGCATTCTATATATTAAAAAAAAAAAATTACACAAACTTAAGAAAACAGAGGAAAGAATATTTCTGGATCTTTGTACTAAAACTTCACAATGATTTGTAAGAACATAAAATTACAAACTAATATACCTTATCAACATTTATGCGAAAATCACTAATATACTATTAGCAAATCAAGTCCACACTATATAAGAGACAACACTTTATCAGACTGAATGCTTTCCTGGTATGATCAGGAACAAAAGAGCATTATTAAAGGTCTTTGCCAGTGTAGTAAGAAAAAGAAGTATAGGAGATATAGAATGACGAGAGAAGCAAAATTTTTAATTTCCAGGATACATAGTAAATTCTCAGGAAGCTACAACAAAACCAGTAGAACAAAAAAATGATCTCAACAAGATTCTAAGAATTAAGTTAATACAGGAAAATAACTGGGGCGTATGGCTCAAAGGAGTAGGGCACTGACCCCATGTGCCAGAGGTGGTGGGTTCAAGCCCTGCCCCAGCCAAAAACTGCAAAAAAAAAAAAAAAGAAAGAAAGAAAGAAAGAAAATAACTTTGTTATATATAACAGCAACAAATAGCTAGATATGAAAAATGTTAAAAATACTTCCATTTAGACCAGGCGTGGTGGCTGATGCCTGTAGTCCTACCACTCTGGGAGGCCAAGGCAGGTGGACCACTCGAGCTCAGGAGTTTGAGGTTGCTGTGAGCTATGACACCACAGCACCTACTGAGGGCAACAAAGTGAACCTTTGTCTCAAAAAACAAAACAAAATAAAACACAACTTCCATTTACAATATTATTTAAAAATATAAAATGCTTAAGAATAAATGGAAAGATGTCAAATATCTTTATGCTGAAAATTTCAAAATATTCTGAAATTAAAGAAAGATAAATGGAGAGATATATTTATACACATATCATGTTCAAGTATTAGAAAATTCGGTATCAAAATTTAAGGTGTCCATTCTCATTAGCAGCCTTTAAAATTTTTTTTGGTAAGACACACAACCACCTAAACAACTAAGTTGGTGACCTTTCATTACCCAATTTCAAGACAATCTGGTAGTGTATAGTTAAGACATATAGATAGTGTACAGTTAAGACATATAGATAGATGAGAATCCAAAATTAAGGGCAATGTCTGTGGCTCAAAGGAGTGGGGCACTAGTCCCATGTGCCGGAGGTGGCGGGTTCAAACCCAGCCCCAGCCAAAAACTGCAAAAAACATAAACAAATAAACAAAATTAAACTTAACACGTATGTTATCTGTATGAAATCAAACACTGACCTTCTACCTCAGGGGTGCTCAAACTTTTTAAACAGGGGGCCAGTTCACTGTCTGTCAGACTGTTGGAGGGCTGGACTGTGGGCCCCGGGATGAGTCGGCTGCTAAGCAGACAGGCAGCGGCAGCAAAAACACTCAGCGAGCCAGATAAACGTCCTAGGCAGGCTGCGTGTGGCCCGCGGGCCGTAGTTTGAGGACGCCTGTTCTACCTCAAACCATATTCAAATACCAATCCAAAATTCGTAAGGATGACAACTATAAAACTTAACACACAAATGGAAAAAAGCAAGCTACTAAACCAGAAAATATTCACACATCATATAGCTGACAAAGAACTTGTATTCAAATATACAGAAACCTTACAACTCAATTTTAGCAAAAGGCAAACATCTCTAATTTAAAACAAGCGAAAGGATGAGCAAGTATTTCACAAAAATTAAAGACAGGGCGGCAGCTGTGGCTCAAGGAGTAGGGCACCAGCCTCATATACTGGAGGTGGTGGGTTCAAGCCGGACCCCAGCCAAAACTGCAAATAAATAAGTAAATAAATTTATTAAAAAAAATTAAAGACAAATGAGCAGTAAGCACATGAATAAATGCTCAACATTACTAGTCATCAGGGAAATGTAAATGAAAACCACAATGAATTATCACTTTAAACATTAACAGAATCAGCAAAATTAAAAACAGCAAATGTTGGCAAAGATATGGAGCAACTGGAGTGCTCAGATGTTGCTAGTGGAAATATAAATGTGGCAAGTGTTTTTGAAAATAGTTTCAAGATTCTTAAATATATTTTTGCCATATGACTCCCAGCAATTACCAAGAGAAATAAAAACATATGTGCACAAAATATATGTATGCAAATGTTCACAGCAGCTTTATTCATAATGGCCCCCAATTGGAAGCAACCTAAGTGTTTATCAAGTGAACAGACAGACTGTAACATAATTTTCACTAGATGAAATTCATTGTCCCACTCCCCCCAAAGGGACAAACCACAGACACTGTAGATCAGTGGTTCTCAACCTTCCTAATGCCACGGCCCTTTAATACCATTCCTGTGGGTCATGACCCACAGGTTGAGATCTGCTGCTGTAGATGAATATCACAGAGACTTTATGCTGACTAAGGAAGGGTGGGCTTGAGTTCATTTCTCACTGTGTGATCTCACTCATACAAAATTCTCAAACAGGTAAAAACTTCTATACTGACAAAAATGAAAGCAGTGGTTGCCTGGTATACCTTGCTTGTACGGTAAGGGAGTGCAAAGGAAACTTACTGCGGAGATGGAAATATTTTAATTTTTTTTGAGTAGGATGATAACTACACGGTGCCTTAAATGTCAAAAAGCATTGGCTGGGGTATCTCAATAAAAACATGTTTAAATGAACACCTTCATTCAATGAAGGTATTGTAACATCCAAGAAAATGAAAGATACAGATATACAGAGAATAGATGAGACCCCAAAACACTAAAAATGTTTATTTTTAAGTGACTTCACAGTTAGAGAATCTATTATAAAATGCTGGACCCATAATTAATCCTGAAAAAGTAAATTGACAATTTTTATAAATTTCCACTTAAGAGTAAAGCCACAAGAAAGTGAGCAAGACCACAGTGAAGCACTAATTGGTCTAGCTTACATAGAGAGCACTCTATTAAAGATAAGCTGATAAAAGGTAAAAAAAAAAAAAATCTGGTGTCAAATGTTACAACGAGCATTTAAGGATGGAGTTTTTTTGGTTTTTTTTTGAGAGAGAGAGTCTCATTATGTTGCCCTCAGTAGAGTGTCATAGCATCACAGTTCACAGCAACCTCAAATTCTTGGGCTTCCTCTCTTGTGTCAGCCTCCCAAGTAGCTGGGACTACAGGCGCCTACCACAATGCCCGGTTATTTTCTTGTTGCAGTTGTCATTGTTGTTCAGCCGGCCTGGGCTCAAACCCGCCAGCCTCGGTGCATGTGCCGGGCAATGTAACCACTGTGCTACAGGTGCTGAGCCAAGGGCGGATATTTTTATAATACTTAAAAAACTATAGCTCAAGACATGGTTTGGTTCCATCTTCACTTTGACAGCCAAAAGCAAACTAAATTCCCAACTGAAATCCAGTGCTCAGTTATGCTAAGCTACTTCCCAATAAAAAAAAATATACTGTTGAAAGATCAACCAGTTAATTTTAAATTCCTTAAGTATTTCTTTTAGTAGGGTGACTATGGTCATCAGTATCACCGGGAACTTACAGAGAATGCAAACTCTCAGGGCCCACAAAACTTTCTGAATTAGATGACAGAGGGGCCTAGCAATCTGTGTTTTAACAACCCTCCAGGAGACTCTGGTGTTCATAAATAGTGCAAATCAGTACATTAAAGGCTACCACTTGCACTTACCTACTTAGCCTTAGTTTTAGTCCTCTCCCTTGTAAGCAGGTATAATCAATCACCTTCCCGAATTGTGTTAAGCATTCTCTTGGTTTTCTTTGTAAGTACTCCACATATTTGCACCCTCCTTTTACTTTTCCTGGTTTTACGCTTATTTAAAGAAACCACTGGTATGCATGCTTCTGTGACTTGCTTTATTTGCCTAACATTTTTACCATGGTCATAGACACAGCTGAGGCTACCCTCAGCTCCTGGCAGTCAGCACCATTCCTAATATGGCTTTCCCAGTAGGGCAGCTTTACTTCTTTAATCCACAAGAACAGTCTCTGAAGGAGCAGGTCCTGCCCACACTCAAAGGGAGGGGATCACATAAAGGCACAGGTAATTCCATGGGGTCATGGAGGCCACCTCAGAGTTCAACTTCCACATCCATCACCCCAAAAAATACCACCTTAAATAATACTTATACTAAAGCTTTGCCTTAGTTTCCTCAAGAAAGAAAGTAAGTGAACTGCAGATTAATTTGAGATTTTTTTTTTAAGAGTCTCACTTTATTGCCCTCAGTAGAGTGCTGTGGCATCACAGCTCACAACAACCTCCAACTCCTGGGATTAGGTGATTCTCTTGCCTCAGCCTCCCAAGTAGTTGGGACTACAGGTGCCCGCCACAACGCCCGGCTATTTTTTTATTGCAGTTTGGCCAGGGCCAGGTTTGAACCCACCACCCCTTGGTATGTGGGGCTGGAGCCCTACTCATTGAGCCACAAGCGCCACTCTAATTTGAGATTTTGAAGAGATCCATCCTTTTTATTGAGGCTGGGTCTCATTCTGTCACCCTGAAGAGACTATAGTCGTGCTGTCATAGCCTAGTGCAACTTTAAACTCCTGGGCTCAAGCAATCCTCTTGCCTCAGCCCCTCAGTAGCGAGGACCACAGGTGTCCACCACAATGCCCACATTGGGGTCTTGCTCTTGCTCATGCTGGTCTCCAACTCCTGAGCTCAGAGATCTTCCTGCCTCAACCTCACAGAGTGCTAGGATTACAGGTATGAGCCACCATGCCTGACAGATTTAAAAAACACCTTTTAAATCAGAGATCCACAGATACAATTTAGGTTGCACATAAACTTAGTGGAGAAAATACTGTATCTTTACTTTAATCTAATAACCTGAAATTTTATATTTCCTTTAACTATGAATGCAGCCAATAAATGACAATTTTAGTAGTACCTATATGTATTTCACAAGTAGAAATCTAGACATATTTTCGCATCAGATAGATACTACAGATATTTCTTTTCTTTCCTTTTTTTTTGGTGAGACACAGTCTCACTCTGTTCCTCTGGTTAGAATGCCGTGGCAACATCACAGCTCACAGCAAACTCAATCTCTTAGGTTCAGGCGATCCTCTTATTTCAGCCTCCTGGGTAGATGGGACTATAGAAACCTACCATGACACCCAGCTAGTTTTCCTATTTTTAGTAGAGACAAGGTCTCACTCTGGCTCACGTTCATATCAACCTCCTCCCAGAGTACTAGGATTACAGGTATGAGCCACCACCTCTGGCCTCCCATATGCTGGAGTTGGCAGGTTCAAACCCAGCCCTGGCTAACAATGGCAAAAATAAAATTTTTTTCTTCAATGGTAAGTTAACAATCTATTGTAACTTTATGAAAATTCTGTTAACTTTTTAACCTTTTTAAAAATACCAAATAGCTACACAATATTTTTCTTTTTTTTGAGACAGAGCCTCAAGCTGTCCCCCTGGGTAGAGTGCTATGGCATCACAGCTCACAGCAACCTCCAACTCCTGGGCTCAAGCGAGTCTCCTGCCTCCGCCTCCCAAGTAGCTGGGACCACAAGCGCCTGCCACAACATCCGGCTATTTTTTTGGTTGCAGCCATCATTGTTGTTTGGCGGGCCCAGGCTGGATTCGAACCCACCACCTTAGGTGTATGTGGCTGGTGCCCTAGCCACTTGAGCCACAGGTGCCAAGCCTAATATTTTTCTTTATATCCTTCTTTTGTATGCTTTTTTCTACTTTTGAACTTTTATGTTAAAAACTAAAACACAAGCACACGCATTAGCAATGCCTTCTTTTGCAATACCTCTTGAAAGAGAAAGACTTGCCTGCGGCTGTTTTAGAAGTAACCTTTAAAAATATTTCTTAGACCAGACCGGGTATGGTGGGTGGCTTACACCTGTAACCCAAGAACTCTGGGAGGCTCAGCAGGAGGATCCCTTGAGCTGAGGTGTTCCAGATCCTATCTCTACTTCAAAAAAGATAAAGAAGAAAAACATTATCTGGGTGTGGTGGTAGGCGCCTAGCTGCTGAGGAGGCGGAGGCAAGAAGATTGCTAGAAAGTTTGAGGTTGCTGTGAGTTAGGCTAATGCCATAGCACTCTAGTCTGGGAAACAGAGCCCAAACCAAACCAAACCAGAATCTCCCAATTATTACTCAGGCTGGTCCAATCTCTCAGCTTCTTGAATAGCTGGGTACATGCTGCCTCACCAGGCTGTTCCCACTTCTTTTTTTTCTTTTTAATAAGTACACTCTATAATAATGATAAAAAGTATAGTACAGGGTGGCGCCTGTGGCTCAGTGGGTAGGGCGCTGGCCCCATATACCGAGGGTGGCAGGTTTGAACTTGGGCCTGGCCAAACTGCAACAAAAAAAATAGCTGGGCGTTGTGGTGGGTGCTTGTAGTCCCAGCTGCTTGGGAGGCTGAGGCAAAAGAATCGCCTAAGCCCAGGAGTTGGAGGTTGCTGTGAGCTGTGATGCAATAGCACTCTACTGAGGGCGATAAAGTGAGACTCTGTCTCTTAAAAAAGGTATAGTACAGTAAATACATAATGATTCTATACATGATAATGTAATAGATACATTATTGAGACTGTTCTAAGGCTTCTCATAAATTATTTCATTTAATCGCCATAATAACTGTATTGTTATCAAGCTCATTTTATGAATGAGCAGGTTATGCACAAAGAAATCAAGCAACTTTCTTAGTTCCCCTTAACAGGTACATCTTAGAGCCAGAAAGGGTAAGCGTTCACTTACCCAAATTGCTCTCTTTAGAATGAGAACATAAAACTTGAGAGAATAGGCCAGGCATGGTGGCTCACATCTGTAAATCCTAACACTCTTGGAGGGCAAGGCCGGTCGCCTGAGCTCAGGAGTTCCAGATCATCCTGAGTCAGAGTGAGACCAAATCTCTTTAAAAATAAATAAATAGATAGATAATAACAATAATAAAGCTACAACATTGTATTGAGTGATACTCTGGGCAAAATCTCAATATTTCAATTTTTCTCAAATTTCTTCATAATTTTATTGATTCTAGTAAGAACGATACAGGGATTTCTTTTTTTCTCTCTCTTTCCCTTCTCTCTCTCTCTCTTTTTAAAACTTCATTCATTCATTCATTCATTTATTTTTATTTTAGCAGGCCCAGGCTGGGTTTGAACCTGCTAGCCCTGGTGTATGTGCTCGGCACCCCTAACTGCTGAGTATGGGCACTCAGCCTTTCTCTCTCTCTTTCTCTTTTTTTTAAAGACACAGCATCTCACTCTCACTCTGCCCAGGCTGGAGTGCAGGGGGGGGG